GCTTGAAATTAAAATATCTACCACAATTGTTATGCTACCATCAGCTAACCACATAGATACTTCAATTCCGTAACTGCAGATTTAAGCTTTAAACACTGGAAATAAGTGAGGAATTTCTCTTTCTAGTAAATAGAGAGAAAAAAATCACTAATGCTTCCAAGTGCTTTTTGTTCAAAAAGTCACACATATTCTTTCTTCCTTTTTGACTTTACACCAAGAAAAAGGTGTAAACGATTAAAGCAAATCTTCAAACTTATAGAAGCTTTTTTCTTTGCAATGGGGAACTTGATTTTTTTCAGATGCAATTAATTTACTAATCAAGGACATGCCAATTGCATATTGCAGTGACAAATCTATGACAAAAGAGTTCTTAGTGAATAATTCTGACTGGGGAAAAAAGCCAGTATCTGTACATGTTTACATCTACTTTCCTGGAAACAGGAATATCAATCACAATACCTGTTCCAATGTTTTCCCATGTAAGACTCAGAAGTTAAGCATGGGTAAGTGTGTTCTGAAAGTACAGGGGCCTACTTAAGCCACCCGTAAAAAGGGGATCAACCTCCTGTTTCCTTCTTTTCTCATACAACTGTTAGCAGATAAGGAAGCAGACATAGGCCAGTTGGGACTTGAGGAACACTGCAATACTGCAGTGCAGGAACCTGAACAGACCCGGAAAAAAGCAAGAAACTGATTAAAAGTATGTTGGGGCAACCCTCCCTCCCCCCCCCCCCCCCAAAAACAAAAACCTAACCACAGTAAAGGTGACTAGAATTGGGGCATCTTGGGGACTTTTTGTACATACTTGTTCTGCTAACTTTGTGTAGCAGAAGTCTTACTGTATACTTCATCAGGCGGACTGGGCCTGAAGAGTACGTAAAAAGCTTCTACATTTGCGCAAATCTAATCAGTAACTCTTTGTCCACTTTGTATCATCCCTCTTGTTACTTTCCAGAAGGGCAAGTCGGACTTCCTTGGCACAGCATTTAAAATAGTCGTTTTTTTGAAAAGCAGCTCGTTTACACTACACCAAACCAAGAGAGTAACAAGTGTTAGGAGCTGCTTTACATTTTAATGCTGATGTTTCATCTTGTGTAGAAGCGTACCAGGAAACACTGTAAACTACAGGATTGCATAATGTAGTAGGATTTTACTCATGGCACAGTTTTTCATGAGGCGTTACATGCCTACAGACTATAGGAACCTTGTTTCAATACGGTGTAACTTATCATTACAGCCGAGCTGACATACAACCTGACAGCTCGAGATAAAGAAACTTCCCTTCCCAGCCAACTGTAATTAAGATCAACATTTTAAAAAAGTTACACAAGACAGAAGCAATTAACAGAAATAAAAAATAGTATCAACTGCCTCAAAACATTAGCAGCTACTAAGCAAAAATAGCATTCCAAGGCTCCAGGGATTTTCACTTTCTAATCTTCTTAAAAAGTATCTATATACATAGGATCTGTAGAAGGGTTTGGATTGGAAGGGATCTTAAAGTTCATCTGGTTCCAACCCACTGCCAGAGACAGAGACACCTTCCACTAGACCAGGTTGCTCAAAGCCCCATCCAACCTGGTCTTGAACACTGCCAGGGATGGGACATGACACGGTATGACATTCCTGCAAGAAAAAGCAACAAGACTCCATTCCTCCATGTACTGGTACCTTTCTACAGTGATCTATCCTTGCTAAAAAAAAAAATTAACAATTGCTGCCTAGTTACTTTTGAGGAACATTATTTTTCAGATTGAAGAAAATTACAAAAGGTTCCATCTGACAATGAATAGACCTGTTCTGAATGGTGATCAGCACTTAAGTGCCAGGAGAGAAACATGTAAACAAAACACTAAAACTACCTGGGTTACCCACAGGTAACACATCAGACCTAACCCTTTCAAATGCAGACAAAATGCACTACCCACTCTATTTGTCCTCGTATTTTGTCAGTCTTAGTATTAGTACACAGAGGTGTTACCACAGTCTTCACTTTTCAGACAGCATAACTTAGCACCAAAATAAAATTGATCCTCAAAGATGCAGCTGCCATAACATTTACAGCTATCTGTTCAAAGCAGCCTTTCAGCTAGCATGTAATACCCCCTTTCCTGTGGATGTCTTTCAGCAGCAGCACTCCAAAATCTGACCACCACTGTCCCACTTTGCAAGAGCAACCACCAGCAGCAAGGGTAATTTTTTCAGCTGCTGCTGGACAGTCCTACACTACGCTCTGAGTTCACTGTGATACAACACACCCTTTCTCAGAACACAGCAGCAAGCAGGAAGATGTACAGATTTTAGACCCTCTTAAAGCAGAAGGGATTTTAAATAGATCTGGGAAATTCCAGCATAATGAAGCCACTGAAAAGTACAAATGTGGAATGACAATGGTATCTTAATTAGATGATATAAGCTTGTTCTCTTTATTAGGCACGGCATGTAGAAAAACATGACAGCAGTCTCACTGTTACATGAAGCTTATCTTGTACTGTAGATTAACTCCTTGTGCTACACAGTACTAGTAGGAATAAAAAGGATTAGAGGATGACATTGAGATGCATTCTGAATTCCTGTTAATCAGAAAGAAAAAGAAATTTAAAAAAAAAAAATCACACCCAGTTTGTTGGTTTGTGTTTATTTTTTAATTGAAAAACATTCAAACAAAAATGATCAAGGCCAGTTTTACAATAAATTCAAGACATACAGGATGGCTTACCTGCTCTTTGGATTTAGTGCAAGAACCTTATTCCAACATTTTTCTCATGCAATTGCTGCATTAAAAATCACATTCTCATTCAACATCAAAGTGGATTAACAATTATGTTTTCTTAGGATTTAATCTTAAAATTTGGTTTAAAAAGTCAATTTTCCAAAGGTTAAAAAACATTTACACAGCAATATTCCCCCCTTCCCAGACCAGCTAAAAGCTTCCCGTGTCTGATAACTGCAGGAATAGATCATAGAGCTCATTTTTCCTTTTTGTTATTCTAACCTGAGAAATTTCTTACATGCTTCTTAGTGGGCTTTCGCTTTTGGCAACATTACTTCAGTCACATAACGAAGTGTGATTTCTCATTCTTCTCAGAGACTAGTTTTTCACTACTTATTCCAAAAGACACTCCCACAAGCAGGAGTTGCCTTAGCATAAATCTGGTTCTGTGAATTGCACGCCCTTTTGGCAATTTAAACCTTGTTAGTAATATCATCACAACACTAACCTCAGGATGTCAAGTTCCCATCAGTTGTGTAATTCCTAGTATTGTGCGCTTTGAAAATATTTACTTTGCATGTTATACTTTTGTAGCGTAGAGAAGTCGATGGATTTTGTGCTTACTCCTCTCCTTACAAAATCTATCTTTTCCACCTATCCATGCCTTTCCCTTGCCATCAGTTATCTCCTTTTCTCATAGCTGCAACAGAAACAGAACATAAAGCACACAAATACATTTACAATGCGAGATCTAAACAAGCTGGTGAACAGCAGACAATGGTCTTGTAAAACACCATTAGTAGATGAATGAGCTTGTAAAACATAAACCCCACAAATCTTTTAGTATTCAAGTGTTCAGTTTTTAAATTTGTAAGCTTACTTACATTTGATTCCTAACCTTCTGACATAGTGTTTTAATATATTTAAATGTGCTAGTCACTTCACACTTGCTCCTAATATATATAAAACCCAAAAATGTGTAAAGAAATTATGAAAGAAACACTTGAAAGAAGCAACTTCCAACAGAATGTAACTTATTCTGCATTTTCAGTAAATTTGTATGTTAAATAATTTGGGTTATTACAAATTGTTGCAGTTCAGTTTTACCTGAACTTATCTGATCTTCTAGTGAACCATGTTTTCTTCCCAGACACTAGTCCTGTCTGCCAGACTAAAATTCAAGAGAATATATTTATGCAAACTGAGTTTTGTTTGCTTCATACTTTGTCTATTAAAAACCCTTACACTAATAACAGAAATCAATGAACTGCTTTGATTTGAAAGGTGTGGGAGTCACATACCCCAAGAAATGGCTAGATCTTTCTGTTTGTTTCCATGCAACTGGTCACTACAGTATTAAAATTAATACTGAAGGCTTCAGTTTGCAACTTCTCTGCAAACTAGCTTTAAAAGAATGTCACAGGAGATTACCATGAAATAAGATGTGACAGCTGATGCATGACAACCTTTCATTCTACTGTAGTTTGTTGGCACTTTTGATCCCCAAAAGATGAAACAACAGACTTTGGATTTTATGAAATATAATACTTTTTTTTAAATTTCCCACCCAATTAAAAAAGTGTTGAAAAATGAGGAGCTAACTTAACCGTTTTAATAACCCTTAGTCTCACATGCATGTTTAATGTTATTGTGAAACTGTATTTTGCAATTCAGCACTGAGTACACTTTAAAAAGGACCTAAAAAACAGGTCTTTATAGCACCATGTAATCTGTTGCTGACTTTACTGCTTAGAATCAGACTCTTTGTGGCACTGCTTCTAAATAAAAAATATTATATTTTTATTTCCTCTCATGTTCTAAAAGAAAAAAAAAAATCCAGAAGAACAAGTTCATGTTATCCAACCAAATGCATGTAAACAATTAATTACTAAACACTCCATTTTCACTTATTTTGGTCTTGTGTAACTGTTCAACAAACTGCTACATGATTCTTCCAGAATGGCACCATTTAATTCAGTGGCAGAAAAATCTCAAACTCATTGAATGAAAATACCTCTCTCTCGTTCTATTGAACTTTGAAAGTCTCTTTTTGCTACCTTTTCTACTATAGCTCTTTTTCAATTTGTAATAAGAGAAAATCAGTGACAAACACAAGAGACTGAGTGCTGCCAAAGCCATTCTACAACACAATAGGGACAGCAAGGAGACAAGGAAGCAAGAGGTACCTGGAACAAACCAGAAAAATACTGAATGCAAGAGAGCACCTTGGCCCAACAGCAAATTTTACATTCTTTCAATACTTAGAGTGGTCTGTTTTCAACTGATACACAATCCAGAATTCATTCAGAATTAAAGGAACACACAATGTGATTAAACACAAAGTACATGAATCATTCATGAGCTAACAAATACTGCCATTTGTTTTTCATGGGTAAAGATGAAGCAAGCATGTCAGAACAGCATCTGTTTGAAATGGAATTAGTGCTGGTACTTTACCATTTTTGATAATTGTTACCTAAACCAGTCAAAATCAGTGATCATCTACTCAGTGTTGCAAGAGGCTTCTTTTCCAAATATGAGTTCCAGTGAGTGGAAAATGAGAACAGTTTGAATACATTATGAAGATTTTTAAACTGCGTATTTCTGAAGAAAGCGGTCAAATGCATCATAAATTGCTTGTCTAAAACAAGGATAAAAAGAAGACAATTTGTATAATTTGGGAACGGGCAGATACAATTTGTGTATTTCCATATACTTACAAGTATATTTACAAAGCTATTATCACAGTTTCGAAACAACATTCAATAAGAATGAGATATTAAGTAACCTTTTCTCCTTCTCTTTCACTTCTGTAAATATATTTAGGTTTCGGAATGAGTAGAACTGTCTACCAACTTTAATACAAGTGCAAACATTAACAGATTTGGAGTTTTCCACTCAAACATGTCTGGAGATGGGTCAGACACATGCATAACTTATAATTTCTGAGCAAATAAGGCTCAGAAATTTTAAACAGCATTAAACTAGTGGTTAGCATACCTTGACGTTGTAAATTGCTATTCCTTTTTGTTGTTGCTTAGACCTCCTAAATGGGATGTACAGCCTTACTAATTCCTTATATTAAAATTAACAGCACAACTATTTAGTAAATTCAGATCTGATAATTTGTTCTTCAAAGCAGTATTTGACATTTGTTACTTTAGAATAGTTGCAGACTTGCTTTTAGAAAAAAAATGTTGTGTCTTAAAATTCTGGGTTTAAGCTCTCAATCATAGTTAAACTTTCCCATTTATCTTACCTGAAGAGTCCTTGCTTGAACAGGTAGGCACTCACATGACCTCCATCCAAGTACCTAATTTCACATCCAGGCCAGATTTCTTGAAGACTGCGTACCCCAGTTCGAGGAATATATGCGTCCTCCTTTGCTTGTACAACTATGATTAAACTTGGGTCAACGGGAACTAAAGAAAAAACAAATCAAAACTGAATTAATCACAGGTAAAAAACAGAAACACATCAGCTGAGATTTCTGTTGTAAAAGTCCTCTCTATTTATAAAAAAATGAAATTATTCTAAGCTTTAATAAAATTATATTTCCTGAAGTCTCTAGTGGAATTTATCTGTTTTCTGACATTACAGTAGACACTATCACCAGTAGAGGCCATTAGTAGAAAAACAAACTAATCAATCCCTTTCCCTTCCTTAGAGCAGACAATTTCACAAGTGTTTGGAGAATAATATGAGAATTGTCTTTATCAACAAAACTCTACTGCAATGAGATGAGTTCTTTGAGATTTTGTTTTCAGCAAAAAGAACTAAGAGACACCTGAAATTCAGCAAAGTAGGAGCTCCATATGATTTCTTTTTTCCTCAAGGATAAGAAAAAAGACAACTTTTAACACGAGAGGACAAAGTACAATGTGTATTCACTTTCTTTTCTGCTTCCTACACGTTTTAGTTAAAACATAAAAATCCCAACTTATTATTATATATATATTTATTACTCATAACCAGAATTGCACTAATCATATTACTAACAGAAATAACAACAAAATGATGTTGAGAAAAATAACACAAAAATGAATTTGAACACAGCACAGTTCTACCTTCACAAAGAATATATGTGGTATGATAAAGAATGACCAGCCAAGATATTTTACAATGAGGGCTCACAAATAATTTAGACCCTTTCCTTTCATGTATATCAGATCACATATAGAGTACATGGAATACTAAGATAGATTCTAGTTTTCCATTCAATATTCCATGAAATCTGACTGCTAGGCAGACTTTCTGAAGCTCTTCTCTAGACACACTCCAAGGATACTCTGGTAGGGGATGCAATGTCTCCCAGAGCATGGAGATCTAGGAGACAAGTGACACAAAGGACTACATCACTTGGACAAGTGCATTGGGATCACAGATCCTCTTAAGTTTCAAGAAAGGCCAACACTTTAGCTAAGTGATACATTGATAAGTATCTAGATAAACAGGAATGTTTGTACTTAGAATTAAGGCTTACAGGTTTTTTTCTGTTTACTGAAATAACTTTTAAAGCTTTAAGGAAAGCACTTACCTAGTATTTGTCACAAAGCATCCCTGGCTAGCAGTGATGTGGGACATTGTCCAAATCAAGAAATTGTCCAAATCAAGAAATCTGTGCTAGTGCAGAAATATTTGGGTATATTCAGTGGAGCACTAAATGCCAGGGTCTCAGTATCAAGAACATTTTGCCATTCAAAGACAGCACTGTCAGAAACATGTCTGAAGTCAAAGTACGTTTCTAGGACATGTTGAGAGCCCTCACACCAGCATAACCCTTTCAATCAGCAACAGGAAGAAATCACTTGTTTGCATTGCCTGCAAGTGGGCCATTGAAAGGGGTTTGTCCCAGACAAAAGGAAACTCAGGTTCATGAGATTTAAGGGTTGCTGGGCTACAGCTCCCTCTATGGCTGTCTTGGGAAACACAATATTCACTAGGCTGCACAGTCCCATTATGAACCTCTGTGTATTTTTACAAGTCACAGTTGTCTAATCCAAGCTTGGTTCTCACCTTTTAGGGTACTTTCTAGCTGAAATCAGTAACAGATTTCTGTTTTACGAGATTTACTTGAATCTATTAGGAGGTTAGCTACCTCTAGATATTACTCACATCACACAGATTCTTTTATTCTTAAATAATACAAATGTGCACTAACTCATATCTGAAAATAGCAACCGCAATGCACGCTAAAAATGAGTAAAGGTACTGAAAGGCAAATTTTTAATTCACTTTATCATTAGTTGGCCATTAATAATAAACAGAAAAACAATTAGGAAATGGAGTGGTAAAGAGCTGCTACTGAATAACTCTCAAGATATTCTATTTCAGCTAAATTGCCAGCAGGTTTACACAACAGAGAATAGAGAAAATACCTTTCTTTCCATCATGTTATTCATTTTCCCAAACTGAACATTAAAACAAGTAAATACATACCTGAGAAGTTAGCTACATGGGTACATTCATCCATTACTCCTTTCATGAACCTTAAGGATTCTCTCTGTAAAGTGTCACTCTTTCTCTTTTTATTTATCCTGTGTTCTTGTGAGCTGCTTAAGTTTTTTTTGCTATTGCTACTGGTTGAAAATGTTTGATTTATGCACTGCATTTTAGGAGCATCTTGTGCTAAGAGTCTTTCTGATGAGGCACTTAGAGTACTTGTGGTAAAGCTGTGAACAGCTTCTTTAGATACAGTTTTGCTTGAGGAATCAAGGTTGAACATTTTTGAAGTCATGTCCACATCCTTCAGGCTGTCTACACTGTCAGGGAAGTTTTTAACAAAGTCTTGTCCCATCTTGAAGGAATCCGTCTAAACAAAGACAACCGGTCATTATTCATTAAGGGCTTCCCCTTTAAAACAGTTGATTAATCTTATTTTTAAGATAAATTCAGTATCAAAAAAAGGAAAAAAAATATATATAAATGGTACTGTTCACAGTACTTGTTATTTCCAGCATTAAATCCTGATCGTTATAACCTCTTTATAATTTCATTCTGCCTTGCTTTTGGCTTAAAAAATTAAGTATTTACATATAGTAGCTTATTATACAAATGTTTGGGTTTAATTCTATATTAAACCTGAATTTATAATTGCATTCATTTAAGCTTAAATTTCTGGGCAATAAACACATGTGACCAGGTCTAATGTTAGGTTTAGCACTGAAAAATCTACCATCTCTAACCACTAGGAAGACACAAGCTGAACATCTTTCATTTTTGTCTGCTCCATCAGTGTTCCTGGCGTGTATTTTACTTAAAACGGCAAGTGCTTAAGTAACTATCTCCAACCCAGCCCCTCTTCTCTAGTCATAGGATACTTGAAAAAGGACTGTCACAAAGCTAAGAATCTTAGGAAAAGTGATTTATCAGAATTGGCTAGAAGACATTGTTGCAACATATAAACAATTCTCAAAAAGTTATCACTCCAATCTAAAAGAGCCATGAAGCAACAAAATTCCCCTTGGGAAAAGCCTTTCAACCCTAGTAAAAAAGAAACAAGAAAGCAAGAACTAATACATAGACAATAAATTCTATTTCGTAAGGAGGAAGTAGCCGATTACAAAGCTCTCCCTCATGTGTATCCCAAATGCCTGTGCATTAAAAGTCTAAAGCTGAGGGAGGGCTAACAGCACCCATAAAAACAGAAATAGACAGACCTAGAAAAGTAACTTAATGTTGCTATGTATTAAAAATATTCTACAGCATTGAATATTTGGAAGCAGTTGCTTCAAAGGGCAATAAGTCATGTTTTAATGTTTACATGCCAGGCTCTTGGTTTTCCAGACTATAAAGCCAGTTACTGGGAAATGTTATCTACAGTGTCAATGTTTTGATTAAATTAATTTTATGTTGCAGATTACACTACATGTAGTCACGGGAAAAAACTTGTAGCAATGTCTATACTTAACACACATTGTACACACAAAACATTAACTTCTGTTTTTCAGAAGGTTTTCCTTCAAAGATTAAATTTATCAAAGGCTTGTTTCCTTACATTGTTGTTTCCTTATGGAAACTACAGGCAAACATGGTTTAGTTAACAATTGGCTACTTTTCCTGAAAGTAAAAAGTGACATTATTTATAAGATCAGCAGTATTAGCCAATAGGGAAAATAAACTATACTTACTCCACAGTATTCAAGCATTTGAATGATTTCTTCTTCATAAACAGTTTGTGTAAAATACTGTTTCTCTAGCTCTCTCCAGTTCACCGCTTTGCTCAGCACACCCTGAGATGATAAACACAAGTGTCTGGTACACAAGTAAAACCCATACATCATTTTCAGTGATACTCAGACAAAATTGATCTGTTCCTCTCTGGGACTTGATTTTTCCAGTGGAATTCTGCTCAAGTTTCCAGATAACCCTTAAATATACTGTGATTCAATCATAACCACTTATTACAGCATAGGACATGGAAACCTACCAACCTTTAAAAAAACAAGCAACACAAAAAAGGGGGGGGAAAGAAGGCAGAAAACAGTCCAACGTAGGGGTTACACACATCTAAACTGTGCTAAACCCATGATGGGCGTCAAAGCCAGTTTTTTCATTCACCTACCCCAGCAGCAGCAGCGATAACAGGATACCACTCATGGTAGTAGTGGCATTGTTACTCATTTATTTAAGCCAGGCTTGGAACAGAAGAAAACATGTTTTCATGGCATGCTTCCTCATCACCTCACAATTCAGAGCAGGATTCTAATCACTGTCCCACAAACCAGCCCCAGCCCCTCATTTGGTAAATGACCCACTGAAGTAGCTCCAAGCTACCTTCCTTATCATGTGTTGTATATCCTGAGCAGGAAGGGTGGGTTTTGCCACCAGTCACTAATAGAGGCCGAAGGGTGACTAAATGCCCTAACTGAAAAGGTAAATGTGGCCAAGCCAAACTTCTTAACTTACTTATCTGATTACATTCTAGCATATGAACAAAAATACATGTTAATTACCGTAGTAAAGACTGCAGAAGCTGTTGACCAGGAAAGACACGGAATCAATGGCAATGGTTTAGGCCAGTTTGTCACTGCCAGTGAAGCCATCTAGAATCAAAGGCACTTATTACGTATTTTAATATAGAATTCACAATATGGTAAAAAGTACTCTTTTACCTTCAATTTATTTGTTTCTACAGTATCAAACAAATACACAGTGCCAAAGCAAAACAGAGATATGTTGTTTTAATATGCTTTGTACCTATGTTGCATAGACAAATGATTATCTGTAAAGACGCAAGCAGTAATATTTTAACTGTCATTAGTCTTTCAAGCATGTTACTAACACACTGCTGTTTTAGTTTGAATATGCAACAGTGTGATACACAAAATCTTAACCACTTCACCACAGAAATCTTCTGTGATCAACTGAGGAAAACAAGATGAGTTGAGAATAGAACTGACACCAAAAGTCACCTCAATTACAACATGACTACAAACAGGAGGTATTTCACACAGCGCATTCAAGCACAGAAGTTTAAGCAAGAAGGATGGAAGGAAAACTATCAACTGATCAGTACAGACCTTCTTTCAGAAAACATTTCTCCCTCCTCTCCTTGTGGAAAATACCATAATTATAGCTTATATTCTTATTAAGGCTGCCAGGAGATAGCTGACAAAGGGTTCCATGAGGATTATACCGATTCAGCACCACAGAACATGAGAATTGGAAAATTTTTTTTCCTCACAACTCTGTTTACTTTGAAATACTTCTGAGGGGAACACTATAAAACAAATTATTTCCATATGCTAAATGATCAAATGAGAAGTTAAAACAAAAATTACTGAAATATAAAGGCTTACATGTCCTCCCATGGATATTCCTGTCATCCCTAGTGGTCCATAGCCTTCTCTCTCTAGCCAGTGCAAAAGAGCTGCCGACTCTAGAACAAGAGCTCCTCCCATCACGAACAGGTCCGAGACATTCTTTAAACATGACCGTCTTTTCTCCCAAGAAAAGGAAAATATAGCATTTATTTTCTAAGATTAGATTTTGACAGTTCTCATCACTCTATACATACTTTCATACAAAGCCTTTTTACAGTCCCAGAGAACTTTGGAGCTCAACTTTCCTGTTGATTCAGCAGGAGAAAAAAAGCAAGTCCAGATTCTCTGGCACATGTACATTTTCATCTAAGTGAGGACTAGAAACAAGATACCTGCTAAGCTTCCAGCATAATAAACATTAGAATCTCATTAGTAGTACTCTTCTGTCCTGTAAACCTATAACAGATCTTTCAGAAGTGGAATCAAAGCGATACAATCCTAGACTACACTCACACATCTCATTTGCAGAAACAGGGTTGTTTTTTTTTTTCCTTTTTCTTTTTTTTTCCCTATTATTTACCTGTTTTACATCATTAAAAAATTGCACACAACATTTGAAGACCAATAAGTATGTCAGCTTTGCAAGCACTCATCAGTGTCACTGTAAGACTGAAATTGTGAAGCGGGAAGTTTGCACGGTACTGAGAAATTCATGTAGGGTACTGTAAAGCATTAAAACACAGAAGAAACAAACAAAAAAAAGGTAAAAAGCTATTCAGCTGAACCATCAGAGGCGCTAAAAAGGGGGGGGGGGGGGGGGAAGTGTTTTACAAATCAATTAACACACCTCTAATTTAGGGAAGGGAGCTGTGTATTTTCAGTATCACACAGGTTACAAAAGGCTACTTACTGGCTTCTTCTGCCAGCATGCAATCACATTTGAGACACTCTGAAGCACAAGGACAAAGCTTACTGTGCGAGTCACAGAAATGAACTGCGCTGCTGCAGGCCAGTATTTATAAGCTAATGTAATTCTTTCCTACAGCTTTGTTATGAGATTCTTCAGTTCCCTCCAGCTGCTATATTTATTAAATAGCTACAAGCATATTAACTAAGCCTAAGCTGCTGCTCTGCAACTTTGTACCAAAGAAGTAACAACTGCTGATTGTGGTATTAGACTGAGCACTCCCCTCTCAAAGAATCCTCCTCTACAACACGCATATACAAAGTCCTCAAGCTGGACAACTGAGAACTGAGCCAGAAATATCCTCACCAAAATACTTAGTTTATCCTTCTGCATCAGACTCTCAGTAACTGGAGAAAACCCACCAATGGATGGATTTCAAAACACACTCGCCTGTCACTTTCCTATAATCTTCTACTTCTAAATGCAATAATAAATATACATTTAAGCAGTTTTCCTATCAAAAAAAGCAATTTTACAACAATTCTCTTCATTGGTTAATGTCAAACTTTTTTCTTTAAAAAAGTGATCCTTACGCCAAAATAGATAGAAATCTGCAACTGCTTTGAAAAAGAAACAATTTTTAAATGGATTTTTTTCTTCCTTTAAAGTATTTTTTTAAGCTTTTGGATTCAGAAAATCCAAATAAAATCTAGAAAATGTAAAATGCTGTAGTATGAGACAGTGCTCCAGGTCAAGTCCTAACAGAAAGGACAGGGTTAAAAATAAATCACCTTCCATGCATTTTCTACTCATGTTAATGTCCAAGTTCAGATTAAAACACCAACTCATATTTGGACTTCAAGAAATAGTAGTTGACTAATACTGCAGCTTTGTCTCAGACACATACCCTGCTTAATTTTGTTAATACTCCAGTGCTTCAGAAAACGTGAAAAGCAAAAAACCAGGACCACCTAATTAGGCTTCTGAATTCATATTTAAGAAACTGAGGAAGGAAGTCCTGTAAAATACTGAACATTGCACAGCTTCCACTGATTAACAAACAAGCAACACCACATTTATTTACATGTCTGACTGCAAATCTTTAAAATACCTTGGAAAAGCAAAATCTTAGCAATTATAATAGGGAAATACACTATCTGCACAAAGCTTATCCACAGTTGTCTGTATTATAATTGCAGTATTTGTACATGTACAGTTGTGGACAGGAAAATAAATTGGTACATGCATTGCATACATTTCAATAAACTGGTGCGTGCATTCACACAATTTGCTTCATCACACTCTACACTGAATGCTCACCCAGTGCAAACTTCCTTGATCACTGTGATCTCTTAACACAAGAAATGACAAAGCAGTCTAGCAGAGAGTAGACAATTTCACATTAGCAGGTTACAAGTGCTCTATGCTTGGGACATATTTTTTTCTTAATAAATTATCAAAGTTTACACCACTTTGAGCTTCTTGAAGGAAAAATGAAAGGTGGTATTTCAAAAGGACAGCATCTATGAATGTAACAGTAATACTTACAATTGATCCTTAGGTTTTCTACAGCCATGTAGAAGACTCAAGTTAAAGAAAGTAAAAAGTTTCTACATAAAAACTGGCAATTAAACAAACAAACAAACAAAATTAAATAAATCACAAATAGCACAGATTAATTAAAATTTGGAACTGAAACCCCAAACATTTAACTGGAACTTACATGTAGTTTAATGATGTAGTCTGCAATGTAAGATTTTACTTTTGTTAGGCATATGGGTAGGAAAAAAGTGTAACTAGGCATCGTATTTAATAAAACTGAATAGCAGTATTATAGAACTTACTGATGAGTTGATGACAGGACAGAAATTCACCTTTTTTTTTTTTTTCAACCCACCCCAATTTTAAATGGTAGCAACAAGTTTCCTCAAAGTCCCTGAGGTACCAAAGGGCTGCATTTGAGAAAGGAAGGCCAGAGAGGCAACCTTCTTTCCTGTCATCAACACATCCAGAAGGCACACAGTATGATGCCGAATGAAGGCATAGCTTTCACTCTGTCATGGCTAAAGGGATCATACCAGTACTTTGATCAGCACATGGATTCATACCAGGACTTTAATGACTACAGTAAGAAGCTGTCAAAGACATTTTTAAAAACGTCAAAAATCAGAAAAGCAGTACTTGGTATAAAAGCAGTGCATTGTATTAACTGTGTTCCACAATGTGTTTTTGCAATACACTGCTCTTTGCTTCTGTCCACTTGAGAAGTCCACTGGAAATCAATCCACAAAGTAGATATTATACCAGTGTCATAAGTCTTCTACCTTCCAATGAGAATAGAATAACTATGGTGCTTTTCACAGAAGGATATAATAAGGGTTTTCTAGCAATAAGGAAGCCATACAGGCTTCTTTAATCATTGGGCGTGCCATTAATGTGCGTCTCCTCCAGAAGTGCTAAAGATAAGATGCACAAACATATATTAAGATAAAATCTGAATCTTAAATTACTCAGTAACAATCAATTTTACATTTTGCATACTCACATGGTCTCCAGTGCCTGCTAAATGAATGCACACAGGTCTGTGCTTGCTGTTCCATCTTCTGGGTATGATGAACTGAAATCTGTGAGAAACAAATATCTATTTTAGCGCAGTAAGTATATCTATTTACAAGCTATACCACAGAAATTAGTCTAAAAAGACAAAGTATTTTTCTAACCCATGCAGGGAAATTGCCAGAGATTCAGCAATATAATTTTTCATAAACACATACAACAAAGAAAGGAATCCAAAAGTAAAACAGAGTAAATCCCAAACAAGAAAAGGACCCAAGCTGCAAGATCGTGTCCATAAAAAAGACCACTATGTCATCATCACTATTTAAATTTTGCAGACTGGAGAAATGGAACTTCAGATGAGGAGTAGCCTAAACAAGCATGACTAGCTCTCCTAGGCAGCACTGCTATTTCTCTCCTGAGGCACAACAGCTGAAATTGAAGATTAAGACAAGCAGTATATTTAAATTAAATAATAAATACATAAAATAAAATAAATCAAAACCCCAACATACAAACAATGAAGCTGTTCTATACACAACAACAATTACTCAACATCTGCTGCTGCTACTCAAGTTACTGACAGCCTAACTCCTGGGCGGGGGGAAGAAATCACTTCTGAGCCACTAGCATTTCCCCCACAAGATGGAGCACTGTTACCTACAGCTGCGTTACACTTTGGAAAAAATTATTCACACGATGCACAATGACCTTAAGGGAAATTCGTAGAGCATTTCAAAGCTGTAACAATACCGTTCAATGTAACAATTAGCATAATTTGTCTACAAAGTGTAAGGGAACATATATAAAGAAACAATCAGTATACTATATTTTCCAGTATGGCACTAATTCGTCCAACAATCTTAAGAGACAGTTTCTTTCTCTAACCCAAGGAGGGGCAAAAGAGAACTGATATTTTGACTATCAAACTTTTTCTGACATTCCTTAGTGCTACATGTTTGACTGCACATAAAACCACCAACCGATAAAATTGACAATGCCAGTATCAACCTGCACTGACAAACTTCTATGTTTAACATTTAAGTTACTAAGCAAAGCTTGGGGAAAAAAAAAAAAAAACATCACAAAAGATTAGCTCAAAACGAAAAGAAATTATGCTCCCTTTTCTTCTGATTATTAGGGATAATCCAGCTTGCTGGGTACCTTTGTACACAATATTTGTATTCAGTGTATATGGAAAACTGGAATTGTTCCTTCAATTATAGTATGACAGGCTTCTTTCACATAAACAGCTTCTCTTGCTACCTATAAAACAAAGAACTACTGTCCTTCATTTCCAGTATCCTGCTCATTCGGGAAAAAAAAAAACAAACAACCAAACAACCAAATTATTAAAAAAAAACAGGGTATTCCAAAGCTTTGTGCAATATGATTTCTACACCAAAAAAGTATGTACTTTCTAGGGGACTTTTAATTTATTTACGCACTAATTAAACTATTACATGTATTTATTTTCACTTTTGAGATCAAAATCTATTCCAACGTTAGTACAAAAACCAGTTTGAAATCTTTTACAGAGAATTTGTACCACAATAAATTAGCTTCACAATAAAACTACTTACAGACCATTCTTATTTCACTATAGTACTAGTTTCAGAAAGGAAATAGCACTTGGTTTCTCTCACCTTGCTATAAGAGATTCAACTGGCAGGATACCTGGGACATAATGAGCCAATGGCGAAATAAAGTGCCCCTCAAGGATTTTACAGTCAGATTGCTCCTCAACCTACAGAGAAAATGGGATGATAGCATACATTTCAGAGAATTTAACTTACTCTGAAAGCCAATTTCTTAAAACAGACAAATTTGTTATAGGATAAAAATGTAGTGAAAAAAAACCCAAAGCTGAAGTCTGTTTCAAATAGGCATACACGTTATCAACACAGTCCAAACATTTGTTTCAAACTTTGCTTTTATTAAATCACCTATTAAAGGAATTAATGAATAAAGTGTAATACTGTCCCATTTTAAATATCTTTCATAACACATACTAAGTTTTCAGCATTTTTTGAGCTTTGAGATCTGACATCCCACACCCCAACTATCATATTACTGAGGAAAAAATAAAACAGGAGCTGTATAGCCACTGCTCTATTCTCTCAGTTTCATTCTCCTCTAGCAGCCAACGTAACCACTCATTTTTCCATCCCTTCCAAGCCCATTTCACTTTTTTGCCATTGCATCCAAATTCTATCCACAGCAGATCAATTAAAAAAAAATATTAAAAAGTCAAAACAACAAACTGTTAAAAGCTTTCAGCTTTCCACAGCATTGACCAGAAGTACATTTATCTGACTTTAGAACTACTCTTAATTTCTGTCCCCTATGCACACTTCCTAGATTTAATTCAGACATCAGGAAAACATAAATTCACATGATATTAAGATTCAATTCTATAAAAGCAGCCTGGTAAATATTAAGTTAATTTCACCTTTATGTACCATCGGGAAAATAAATTTGGTTAAACTGCATCACATCTTGCTTGTAAGTACCTTGTCAATGAACACTGGGTAATCTTTTGAAACCAGTGTCTGGCATTTTTCCCTGTTTCCAATAATCTTTCTGAATTCGAATATTCTGTTGAAAGGAAACAAGTAGAGAAGATTCAACTTTTAATCTAAAAAAAAAGAGAAGATACATGCATGAAATTTCAGGAGCTAAAGTAAACCACAAAGAAAATAAAAGTTATGAAGCCAGTTGTGCATTTACAGATTAATCAGTTACCAAAGGGTAGGTATATAAGAATGTTCTTCAGTTCAAAAAAAACCCAAAACAATTCAGGTATATTGCTTATGGCTGCACAGCTCTTAAACAGCATTTTATACCTGATATGTTGAAAAGTTATGTAATTTTTCAGCCAAAGTAAGAAATAGCTCAGCTGCCCACACCAAAGTATTGTTGCCAATACAATGGTCTGAGATCTAGCTGGAAACAAGCTTCAAGCAGGACTCGGGGAAGTTCATGAATGACAAAAACTGGAGGGCAAAGTTGATAGCTGGAAGGTAAGGCTACCATTAAGCACCACCTGGGTAAGCTGGAGGAATAGGTCAACAAACATCCTAAGGTTCAATGATTAAACTGCAAAATCTTGCACCTAGGACAGAACAGCACCATGCAACAATACAGGATGGGAACTTCCCAGCTCTACAGGAAAACACAGAGGGTTTCTGGTGGACAGCCAGCTAAACGTGAGCTAGCAGTGCACCCCTGCAGCTGGGAAGACCAACAGTATACACTGCATTAAGGAAGAGAGCAGCCAGCAGGCCGAGGGAAGAGGGTTTGCATTGCCTGGGGAACAGGAGGGTAATGGGGAAATCTGGTTGCTTTCTTCTGCTATTTATATGGGCTGCAGCGTCTTACAGAAAAAATGAAACAAGACTCTCCTCACAGTTACACAGCGAGAGGACAAGAGGCAACGGCTGTGCATTACAACATAGGAAATTCCTACTGGAACAGAGTAAAAGATTTTATTCAGTGTTCAAGCACCAGAAAAGTTGCCCAGGGAAACTATAAATAATCTCTATCCTCAAGGGATTTATTTTTTTTTCTAAATCAAATGAATGCGTTGCCAACTGACATGAATCAGGTAAGAAAGAAGTTAGCTTTGTTTTGAAATGGGATTTGGACTAGATGCCCTCAAGATGGCCCCTCAACCTTAAATAACTCTATGCTAAGAATAGCTTGCCTGTTCTTGTGCTTGTAAATACACACGTGAGTGTGGAGGTAAACTAAAAGCAGACATGTTCTGTTTCACACTCAATCTTCCAAAAATATTGCATTCATGTACTTCCTCTACAGTTAAGAGGATAATGAAGGCTAAATCTTGCACGTGTCAGAGGAATTTCAACTCTTGTCAATAAGGATAAAGCATTAGGACATCAACAGTCATCACATCAAGGGTGTGCACACAAAACTTCAGATTACATGTAGGCAGGGTAGTCTGTAATATCAATTAATCTCAGTTAATGCTTGAAGATTAAGAAATTACATAATTTATTCTAATGGAGCCTCACAGCAATCACTTAAGAAAAAAAAAAAAGGGAAAGAATGCTGACACTGTTTCTGGCATGCATATAGGGAGTGGTGCTCCCTCCTCCCACTAGACAGTGTGAGGAGTTGGGAGGAGGTGGTATTCTTTCTTCTTCACGTGAATCCAAACTGTGGGGGAACAGCTCATCTTCTTCCCATTCAGGAACAATATATAGAACAAATTCTTCTTCCACGTCCCAGATCAGCTGGCCAGCAAGCATGCCTCATGTTTCCCCCACTCCTTCTGATCTCATGTGAGAGGCTTCCCCCCTTTCTATGAAAAATGAATAGCCAATCCCATTATTACTACCAGCAATGCCTCCTTATTTCTGTTTGACATGTGTGAGTACCCTTATGGATGTCATGCAAGAGAAAAGCCTTGCCTAGAATTGCAAAAGCTAAAAGCAGAATTAGCCAGAAGTTTCCCTACATAGATAGTAATTCTGCTGGGGGGGGAGGGGGGCAATGAGGATGGGGGTGTTAAACTTCATGTCTCACCAAGAACCTAATAGTTTTTAAGAGAGGGTTTTGATAACACTAAAATGTACTATTTCAGATACACGCACATGTAACATAATACAGAAAGGCTGCCATAAAAAACACCCAACATTTTTTGCTTATTCCAACAACAGTAAACATTTTAAAAAGCCAGCATTCTTATTTTGCAGGAAAGTCTGCTACTAAGAGAAAAATCAACTAAAGAGACGTATAAAGCAATCCAAGTGCCATTTCAAGATGAGATATTTCACTTGGACTTAAAAACAAATAATCTCCCACATAATTTCATTGCTATCGACAGCGAACAAAATTTTATTTCACTTTAAAATTTTCATTATTGACTTTCAAATACATAAGAAATAGCTTATTAGAAGAAAATTTATCATTTCCTATTTAAATCTTATGTGATGCACAATACATATTGTTCATTCACTTAATATTTAAACTTAAGAAATGCACATGCTCAACTTCCAGGTGTTACTCTTAATAATAACTAATAAAAATCAGCTAATAAAGTAAGAACTAACTCCCATTTTTTCTTTTCCTTATTTTCAAGAAATCTAAAAAGAACAAGTTTACTACTTTGGGCTACAAGAGAAACTTCTGTTTACATCTTACACTTGTAAAGCTCATTGCTATTACTAAGAAGTTATAGAAAGCTAGCCAGATCCTTTTTAATGTTACACAGAACAACTCCTCTGCAAAAATTCAGCAAGTTTTGTTTTTAGAAAATCATTTTCAGAGATGCTGCTTGAAATATGTTATTATATATGCATAAGTGAAAAATCAAACTGGACACATACATTCTCTCAAGAAGAGCCTTTTAAAACACAAACATTGAGCAAACCACTCAAAGACTTCTTTTAAAACCAGTTTCTCCCTTTAAATTAAAAAAAAAAATGGTTTTCCAAACAGAACAAACAGTTTTGTTTGTTTTTAAAAACAGGACAGTAACAATTGCTGATACTTCAAGGGATGGGTTAGGGTTTTTTTAATAAGAAGTACTGTTTATGCTGTTATTCCTTAACAAGTCACCTTTTCAGATCCTCTGGCTTTCCCCATCCTCTGATGAAAAGTTTAGTGAGGAGAAGCTTTCTGTACAAGACATCTAATTTACTTACACCCATTAGCAGCAAACTGACATCTAGAAAAAAGAACAAATGCAAACAAGGCAGTTAAACGGGCTGAGTGGCAAGTTCATTGATTGTAACACAGACCAGGTTCCTATTCTGTTGTCTCTATTAATGAAAAGCCATACCATTTTATTCCAAGGAAGTTAACCTTGACCTTCAGGTCAATTATCTTCATGTTAAACAAAATACAAGTGCAGGTAATACAAACTCCAGGTAGGGTTTTTTTGTTTGTTTGCCTGTTTTGGTTTTTTTTTTGTTGGTTTTTTTTTTTTGTTTTTTTTAGGAAAATGGCATTTAGGAGTAGGGTTTTAACATGCCTAATTTAAGCAGAAATTTATTAAGTAACTGATGACAAGCCAAATGAAGAGGCACACAAGGTCACAGAACGACATCTTCAACCAGTCCTAAAGTCAACTTGTACTTTAATTGAACTGATAAAACTAAGAGTGGCATTGATCTCTGCCCTGTCAATATAGCAGCAACAGCAAAAGTTTTTCAGTCAACACAAGGCTTTCACAAACATATCTCAGAAAGGAAGCTTGAAATAATATTCAAACAATTAGAAGACTAGATCTCTGGCTATGTAATTATTCATTGATTAAAAAAATAAGAAAGAAAAAAAAAGTACTGATGCAGAGAAAGCTTGTTTTTGTAAGCTTGTCTTTGTTGGAGTCTTAAACATATATCCTAACCGTTATTTTACTCATTCCTTTTCAAATTTCACCAACTCATTCCTTATGTTTTTGAAAGTGATACTCCCATTTCCTTCAGGGAAGATATCACACCATCAAAATCCTCACCAGTGTAATTTCTCTTTTAGCAAATACACTAGCCCGAATATAGCTAAAGGAAACAAGATTTTAGACAAGCTGAGCATAAGCAGTACTTACTGAAGTAAACAGGGAGCCACTACTGTGCTTTCCCGATGAGGGGGGTGGGGAGGGGGGTGGGGGTGTGGAAGTGGGAAGAGAATTTTAATTTGGTTTCTTGCTTAGCAGGATACAGGTGATTCAATTAAAAAAAACCTCCAAGGTCTGTGTACACCTAAGAAAACAACAGATTTTAATAATAAATGGTTAGCAAGTGACCTTCAACTATTTTCTAGTATTTCCAGGTCCCTCCATACTAAATGGACTAAACTTCATTGCACTCCAAAGCAGGGTATTTTTTTTTTTTCCATTTTAATCCAAAATTCATTTATTCTGCCACACTTTAACATGGTTATTCTTAAAATACACTTGTCTGAATATAACGAGTAAAAATTGTGGTCAGATTAACAAACACATTTCTTTGCACTTCTAAAAAGCCAATGCTTAAAGTGTTTTTCTTTTTTCCATATATTGATTCTTAACACCTAGAATAAGTTATTACCAAAACAGAAATTATAGACAATTTAAGGTACATCAATACTAGAACAAGCATTCTAGAAAGCCACCACAGTTCTATATGCTGTCACCACAGGGCAGAAATAAATACTTGAAACCATCAGAGAGTCAAAGTAGGGACCTCATATTTTAACACGAGTTCGTACTCCACCAGTCGCAAACAGCTGACTCTGTCAGCTCATTATTCTGACCCGTACCTGCTTGGTCTAACAGAATCACAACTTCAATATAGTCTTTTTCCTTGCCCATTCTGGAGATATCCATTGACCACACATGCTGTTGGGTTGTCAGATGGGAAGCGTTTGGTAGCCTTTGCAGGGTCCCTCCTCTGCTTTTTGGAGCAGGGGGACAGCTTGGCATTTTCCTGGTGTTTGAAGAGAAGTGGGTGGCAGAGACAGGGACAGTAATACAGAGCAGACCCTCTACGGGGCTGGGAAAACAGTTCAGAGTGAGTACACAGGAGTAAATCAATGCTGTCAAAAATATACTGAAACTGGGTTTGCATTTCTATTGGTACACTGCTTACCAGTAACAGTGAAAAGAAATATTAATTAATGCTTTGATGCTTAACAAAGCAGACTCATATGTTTTGTTAGTTGGTTGTTTAGGCCTTTTTGTTTGTTTTGTTGTGGTTTTTTTTCAATCCTCTCCAAAAAAGCCAAATAAGAGAGAAACACAAAGATGTTGATTTTGCTGCAAGTTCAAAAGCTGGCCTGATGAACTCTCTCTATTGCACCAAGAGTATGCCAAAATAAGTTTCTAAGCAAATCCAATATATTTAAATGGAAGATTGACTGGAGTAAAAAGAGTTGTCTCATCCTATGAATATTCTAGTTCATTGACTGAATAAAGACTCCAAGGTAATTCAGGATATTTCAATTAACCATATTCAAGATTACACCACTACTGGAAAGTGTACAGGAAACACCAAACAAAAAATAATATTTCAAGTACATGAAGTATGTTGTATGGAACTTCTCAGAAACATTAGCAAGACAAACAAAACAGAAGGATGAGCCCTATTTTTATCTCAGTAACAAAAGGGTCAGGCATGCCTCAGTCACTGCCCATCAGTGTCTACATAGAAAGACAAATACAAATACTTTCACTGTCAGAAAAGGCAAACCCAGCTGTTGGAGGCTGAAGTTCTACAACTTCACAGTAGAAATAAAGAGTGTATTTTAGCAGCGAGAGTGTGAACTTGAGAAAAGAATCAGCAGAGCTTGCTTTGGAATAAGACCTGAGTTTGTTCCACAACTTGATTCCACATGTGTCACGTCACCATCCCTTTGTAAGACAGGCCAGCTGGAAACAGTGACCTAATAAAGATCCCACATAGTTGCATAGCCCAAGATACAGTACCTGTGTTATGAATATTTAATGAATATACTGCTAACGCTGTAAGCTTTACGTAACTTTAAAGTTGTGAATAGAAATTGTAATAGATAAAGGCACATTAAGAAGTGGCACTAAAACCCCCCTGCACTTTAATATAGTATTTTCCAGAGATAAAGACATGGAAACCTACAGATAAACTATACTTACGTCCTTGCTGTAGAAAGCATGTTTTGCTTTGCTTTCAGAATCCTCATGCTGCATATTAATTACACATTTTTGGCATGTTGACTTATTTCATACAAACAGACACATTATTCATCCAAAATTCAATACATAAAAAGTCAGCTGTTCCTTTTTACCCAATGAATGCCATTTTGCTTACAAGAAAAACACCACTGGAAAGTACATAAAGACTTTATTAAAGGCCCAGAGTACTTCTATTCATGAATACAAACATTCAGCTCCCATCAAGCAAACAAGCTGAAAAAGCAAAGAAGATATGCCTATTTTTGAAGGCCAAGTCCTTAAACTCCCTGCCCCATTACTATTTCTTAAGAACCTTTCTCCCAGTTAACGTTAGGTCATGCTTTATTTTTTCGGTTTTTTTTAAAGCAGTCTTTCAGTAGAAGAAAGACAAGAAACCACAAAAATGTCACGCTGACAAGCCAGAAACAAGCCCCACAACAATCTCACAGGCCAGATACAGAGGAACCTGCGGATAAACAAAGGGGCCTAACCCTGAAGCGCTACACCGCCCGCCCGCTGAGCGGCTCCCAATCGCTGCCTACCTCCCGCCTTTAAATCCACCCGCCCTGTGCTCAGTTATGAGCGATTGGGGTGCCAACCCGAGTACCTCCCGGTCCGAAGTGCAGGGCTCAACAGCCGGCTTCCCGCCGACACCCGTATATCTCACGGGATGCTTGGGGAAACCCACTCAGGCTGCCACGCCCCTAACAGTCAGTTAACGCGTCGGGGACTCAGCGGCCCCCCGGACACGGAGTGCGTCCCCCCTAGCCAGGACAGGGGTCGGTAACTCGCCGCGGGGCAAGGCCACCTCAGCCAGCGCCTGCGACGTACCAGCAGCATCCCCCGGGACTGGGCAAAGCCGTGAGGGAAGCCCCGGCGGCGCACAGCTCCTCCTCGCCCTCAGGGGACAGCCGAGCAGGCTGGTAGCCAGCCACCTTTCCCTTCCTTCCCGTCTCCTCCTACACGAACCGCCCCACGAAGGTCACTCACCTGAGAACCAGCGTTCCGGCGCCGGGCACCACATGGGCGGGCGGGAAGACAGACGAAGAGGGAGAAGGGCGGGGCCAGCCCCAGGCGCGGGCGGGGGAGGGCGGGCACGCACGCACGCACGCACGCTCGCACGCACGCACGCACGGCTCTCAGCGGAAGCGCGCGCGCGACCAGTGCACACCGACCCCTCCCGGCCCCGGCCTCGCCCCCGCCCACCGTTGGCGGCAGCGCCCCCTGACGGCGGAGGCCGCCGCGAAGGTTGGCTGGGACGGGCCGTGAGGGGGATCGCAGCACCGGGGGGGTCTTGGAAGCGGCCGCAGCTCGGTATGGCAGCCGCCGTGTTCGATCCGGAGGTGGCTGCTGAGGGGCAGGAGCCTTTGCTGAGTCCCGGAGAGGCGGACGGGGAGGACAGCGGCAGGTAGGGGCTTATTCGATCCTGCGCCCTTCCTTTCTGAGGTGGTGAGGCGGCACCCCGCGAGTGACTGGAGGAGCACCTGTGTGTGACGAGTCCCATTCCATCCGGTGTGGGCGCTTTACTCAGCCAGGGAAGGCCAAACCTGAGGCAAGCCGCCCTCCCCGGGAGCCGGCATAGGGAGGGCAGGTCGGGCCGCTGCGGTAGCCCGGACAGTTGAGCCCACTGCGCCCTGCCGGAATCTCGGAGCGGCGGCGGGTCGTCAGCCTGGACCTGGAGCGGCCGCTGCCACGGCGGGGGCTGGTTCCGGCTGTCGGGAACGAACCGCACTTGCTTGGGAAGTTTGTAATAAGGGCGAGACTCGGTTACTGTGGTGCTGAAGTCGCGGTGTGTAATAGTGCGTTTCTTGTGTGGGCAGCAGGTGGTCGCCTGGGGCTTTTTCCCTCCTGTCAGGAAAACAACAGGACTTGAAATGTTACACACGGAGGGTGGCCGCTGCCGCCGTTTTTGCTGAAGTGTTCTCGTACATAGTGCGTACCGCTTGATATAACCAAAATCTTGGCAGTAACCAAACATAGGATATCCACGTGTTTGACTGACTTCTCTCCAAGCATGATGCGCAGTAAGAGAGCGAACTGTATTTAGAAACATCATTTATGTGGTTCAGGTATAATTGAACCAAAACACTTAAATTGTCTAAGCATTTCCGTACAAATCATGGTCTGTTAGCTTTAAAATTGCACATATGCCTAAGTCTATGTAGGACCTATACAAACATGTTCATAAAACTATGTTCAAGCATACATAACCTAGGTCTGCATCTTTTGGACAGAGATTATTTTATTTAGGATACTTCAAAAGAAGTGAAGAACCATGAATGTTCTTGCTTCTGAAAAACTTTGTGGATTTCGGAAGGTGCTTAGGAATTTTAGGAAAATAACTTACTGCTCACCAAGTTTGTGACTTTTGTTTTGCAGCCCTTAAAATCTTCAGCAATATCTTTTACACACAGTTTTTACAGTGTATAAGTATGCAATGTAAAAGAATAGACTGGCCGTACCATTTAGTCTAATTGATAGTGGTTCAGGATGGGGGCTTTTTTGCTTTAAAGTCACAGTTCTGAGAAGATGTCTAGGGTTTTATGGATTATAACACACTTCTGAAAGCATGCCTATGGTGTATGTGGTGCTCCAAAGTGTCTACAAAGAGGTTGCAGAATTGAAGATCTCTTTAGATAAAGATCTCTTTGTGTAACATTTGAATGCAGTGGTGCATGACAGTGTTTCTATTGGTTTTTTTTTATTATTTGTCAATCTGGTATTTTTCAGTGAAAAATTAGCCTGCTTCTAAAATATTTTTTTTTTATTCATTGCTGTATGGAAGCTTATTCCTGCATGACAGTTCATACAAGTGTGTTGAGACATTTGTGAAAAATGTTTTCAGTGTGCTGTAAGAACAGCTAGAAGAGAATCTGATAATGATTTCTTTCTCTCTTGACTTCTGTTTTCAAAACAGGGATGTTGTGGAAACACAAGAGCATTATAAGAGCAGGTGGCGATCCATCTGGATTATGTATCTTACTATGTTCCTCAGTAGTGTAGGTGAGTAAACAGAGGTGGATTTCAATGTTATTTTCTTAATGTATTTTGGGTTGAAAATTGCAGGGTTTCCTAGATTTCAACTACATAGTGTCCTTAATGATACTGGTTTTTTTATAACCTTAAAAAGATGCATTTTCTGACTCTTCAGAAGAGTAGACAGTACTAGCAAATCAAACAAAAAGTTATATTTAGTAAGGTATGTTAAGTAACAACTAAATGGTATATTAAATCTTTGTGTTATGGCTTTGTAATAGTTTGGAATAAAATGTAGTGGCACAGAAAAATTATTGCGCAGAACCAAACAGCACAAAGGTCACACTTTTATTATTTATTTAAAAGTGAATCCTCTAGGAAACGAAAATAGAAATAATGCTGAGTTCTTAAGATGTAAGATCTTTGTGGGAATGTGTATATTTCACAATGTGTATGAGAGCTTATTCTCTCCTGTGGGATTTTGCATCTCCACTGCAGAACATGCTACTGTCTCATTCCTAAAGAACTGACCCTGGAAACATGGCTTCAGTAGATTTTGTTTTCTGGGGGTTTTCTGCGGGCTTAGAAATTATCTTGAAAATAATAGCATACTTCAATGATTATTTTTTTAATTTGATGAATTAACAGTTTCTTTTATAAATTAATATAAATATGTCAGTATATCAAGAAGTAATTTTTACTCTGGAGACCTTGTTGTCTTTCCACTGGGAGGAAAAATCCCATGCAGTTTGCTTGGCATTTCAGTATTCCTTCCATAGGAACTCTTTCTGTTTAGTGTGTACACACCTATAAAATGTCCTTTTGTAAATAGTTTCTTCTGTTAGGAGGAATTATCACTCCTTAAAATAAGCATATAATACTTTTTTTTTTTCAGATGACAGACTGCTGCAGAGTTTTAGACTATAACGCACTTTAAGAGCAGAAGGAACCTGTAATTGGTGTTTCAATAAAGGGAATTAGTGATAAACGTGCCAAATAAAGTAACTTCAGTTGTGTTTTTACTGCATTGCAGGTTTCTCAATTGTAATTATGTCTGTGTGGCCATATCTCCAAAAGGTTTGTATCTTTTTTTTTTAATTAATAAGAATAGAAAATTCCTTCTCAGTATGTAATTCAAAACTTGGCATTTTCTTTAGGAAAAGAAACAGTAAAAGGAAGTGTGTGGTTATAAGAGACTTTTATTTTACCATCCATTTAGACAGCTTTCCTTATTTCATGTAAAATCTGTCAGCTGATTTCCTGAATTGATAAAGGTACATCATAATCCAGAAATGTTTTTCAGTGTAATTTCACTGTTTTCTTGGACAGTGAATCAATAGAAATCCCTTTATATGAATGCATTTATAGTATTAAAACATACAGAAGACTTGTTTGCATTTTGAAAAGGAAAAAGAAAAAGGGAAGCTGAAGGTAGCGGTTGCTCTGTAAATGTCAGATTGTTGCACACAGACCTTCTTGATATTTTTAACAGGGAATTGCCATTGTTCCTCGATAGTGTTTTAAGTTTGTTTGGTTTTTTTTTATTCCCTCTTTGTTGCATCCTTGTTAAAAGGAGCATAAAAGGTGTCTAAAACCTTAATTTAATCTGTGCTAGGACTTTACTGCCCCTGGAATTGTAGAAGGCAGTTTCAAATGCAAATTTGGAATAACATATCCTGGGCAGGGTCCTAGAGGCTGGTGCTGAATTCTTGAAGAAGAACATGCATCAACAGCCTCACAAATCAGGAAAGATTTAGGCATGTGCAGAGATGACTTCAGTGATTCCTTGCTTCTGGCATGTAAACTGCTTACTATACTGCTTATGTTTATGTCTACAGTCTGTAATAGCAGCAGTGCTGTATGGAAACTACTTTGAGTTTGCTGCAAGTAAGCCATTTCCAGTCTCAGAAGCAAAGCATTTTTACTGGGTTTATGCATTGCTGAAGACAGCCAAGCTTTATTTTCCCTAGTCAAAATACTGCACGAAAACAACTGCCTCTGAGAGGTGGAACGGTGTGTTTAAGTTAGACACTGCACATTGCCATGCAGACACACCAACTCATTTGACAATAGCTTAGGTTTGACACTGCATTGCATAGTGCCATATATGCTCAGAATTATGGTGGAGAGTCTTAGATAGTTCAGGTATTGATTCTGAAACAGTTTTGTTGATCTTATAAAATACTGAAATACTTTATCCATAGCACTGATTAATTTGTTTCTGCAGATTGATCCAACAGCAGATGCGAGTTTCTTGGGCTGGATTATAGCTTCATATAGCATTGGCCAAATGGTTGCCTCTCCCCTCTTTGGCTTGTGGTCCAATTACAGGCCAAGGAGAGAACCTCTCGTCATTTCTACTGCTATTTCAGTAGCTGCTAATTGTCTTTATGCCTACGTCCGTGTTCCTCATTCACACAACAGATACTACATGTTGGCTGCACGTGCTCTGGTGGGATTTGGAGCAGGTAACCACAGCACAATTTACATTTCTGAAAATTCTTAAATCCTATGTCTTGCGTAAGGTAGTTAATGTTGTATTTTAGTACCAGGTTTGCCACTATGTGAGTGATACTGTATTACTTAAGGAGTCAGCCAACATTACTTTATAATAAAATTTTATAATTGTGCAGTTGTGTATAAATACCAGAGGAAGTGCTGGGTTTTATATTATTTCAGAATAAGAACATAACTTTGTATATGTATGAATGCTTTCTTATTTGTTTGTTTGTTTTTCTTTTTTAAGGAAATGTGGCTGTAGTTCGATCATATATTGCAGGTGCCACTTCTCTTACGGAAAGAACAAGTACCATGGCCAATACCAGTGCCTGTCAAGCGGTTGGCTTTATATTAGGACCAGGTAAAGCATCTCTTCTCACCTCTAATACTTTTTAGGATGAAATTGGACATTGGAAGTAGTAAACCTCAGCAGCCATGTTGGGAATCAGGTGTAATTGTGGCTTCTCAGATACTCTTGTCTACTTTATGGAGAAATGTGTTAGACTTACTTTGTGTTGTAAAGAGAGAATAGCAGTTTTGTCCTGAACAGCCTGCACTGATTACTTGTGTTCTATAGCTGGAGATTATGATTATGCAATTAGTAGAACTGAAGTGCTCTCTGTATGGTAATATAATGAAGTGAACATTTAGGGCTGAAAGTTTTTTCTCCAGCTGGTTGTTACTAGTACTGTTGATGGAGCATTAAAAGATCTACAAGAACAAACTCTGCCTTCTTTGTGTGATTTGCATAGAGTATAAGTTTAGGTAATTCCCTTTCCTAATTTGACAGGGACCCTCAGTCTGCTTCCTAACAGTAGTAAGCAAATATTCTTAAAATCTTTTTCTCAGCACCAGTTTAAATTTTAATTAAAAAACCTCCCACAACTTTTTTTCTCTCTAGCTTGCCCTTAGTGGGTGGGAGAGTTCAGTCGCAGGACCAAAGCTTTCCATGTAGGAGGAAGAGGAAAAAGAGATCAGCTGTCTGCACATGGCCAAGAAAATTAACCATTGGTACACTCAGAAGTCAGTTCCAGTTCTTAGTGTCATGCTGTTATTTATACAGTGTATTTGTATGTAACCAAATAGTTTTCTGGCTAGTTGAGATCCCACTGATACCCATCAGTTTATCTAGAGTAGGATTCTCAAAACATAAAAGGCTTAACAGGTAGAGTGTTTAAATTTTACTTGACAATTTTATGTTTATTCTGTTTTTTTCTCAGATTTTCATAATGACTCTCAATAATTCCTTAATACAATTGTGTTTTTAAGTTTTTCAGACATGTTTTACCCTTATTGGAGAAGAAGGAATAACATGGAAATTAGTTCAGCTTCAGCTGAACATGTATACGGCACCAGTTTTATTTGCGGCTCTCTTAGGAGTTATTAATATTGTTCTCTTCTTTTCCATATTCAGGTAATCAGGTCAAAAAAGAAATATTCTACCTTGTTTTAGTGGGTGGCTTGTAACAAACAATATACTGCTCAGAAGAAGTAGTAAGATTGAAATATGGAGTGTTAAAACTAGAAGCTGTTATTTATTTTTCAGGGTTTCTTCTTCTTTAATACCTGTCTTTTTCATTAAGCTCATAAATTAATCAAAGTGATGTTACAGCTGGAATGTAACTGATGAAAAAAGTTAGAGCTGCTAGATTATTCACTTAGCCTTGATAGGTTTTTTATGTTGATGGTTTTTGCGTATGTGTTTTCTCTACAGAGAAATAAGGTTAGCTTGTCTGTAGGGTTCTCATTTTCTATGTCTTTCCTTTAAGAATCTTGAGGGGGGATTTTTATGCACTATCCCATTGGTGGCGGTGAGGGGAGGGAAGAGATGCACACAGATATGTGATAACCTGCTAGAATATTTTCTTTCTTGAATATCATGGTGTTCACTGCACTCAAATGTAAACTACACAGATGATGTTTAAAAGAAGTGGGAGTAATTAGAATATAAGATTATGCTATTTAGAATTATTTTAATAGAAAATTGACACAATAGTAGACCAAATAAATATGTGTGTTAATGAAAACAGTTCTAAACTTCTAGAGAGCATCAAGTGGATGACATGGGACGGCAGTGCAAGAGTGTCAGTTTTGAAGGAGAAGGTATCTACATTTACTTGAAAACTTACTCCGTGACTATAATTTATTACATACAAGCATTTAGAACTACTATAAAGTTTGATGCATTGGGATCTTAAAGTGGAAAATAGGCTATATGTCTCTAACTGGTCCAGAAGTTGCTTCATGTCCATGTTATGTCCATGTGTGTTCATAGTGCTGTCTGGTACCCTGGGACTGTCTCTTCCAAGAGACAAGATTAAGTGAGTATGGACATTAAAAAAAAATCTCCCGTAACTTCAACTCTGCATTCGTACCTCTCTCTTCTTTTGTATCATGCTGAGCAATATTGTTATTGCATAGCAGCTTTCACATACGGCATCTTATTAAAAGTTGTATAGCTAAATTTGGTTGGTGAGACTGAAGTACAGTAACTGCCACATAGTGCAACAGTTATGTTCAATATGTACCCTTTTTGTACACAGTTCAAAAACATTTGTGAGTATCCCTTTCACTTAAAGAATAAAAAAGTAAATAAAAGGTTGTTTTAAACCTTTTTAAAAACCGATGGAAGTCACCAGTTTCGGTATTGTATTAGTTTTCTGATTGAAAAGGGAACTGTGTGCACACCACACGTGGGTGTTTTGTGTATGAAAACGTATGCCCAAGTTAGAGGAGCAGAGGCTCTGTGATAGTGTAGAGAACAGAGAATTCTACTGTGTACTTCTGACCTTGCAAGAGGAAGAGAAAGTGTTTTGGCTTCCATCATTAAGATATTTAAAGAAGTTTGCTTATTTTGCTGTCACTCAGGACTTGTCAGTCCCAGCGTTACAGTGGGAAAACAGATGGTACAACCATTTTGAAAATCATTTTTCCCTTCATGTCAGAGGAGTTGAAGTTCCAACAATTTCATTTTGATTTAAAAACATTATCCTTAGATTCTCAATAACTGCCTAGCCACCTACCAACCTGCATGTTAAATACTTAACAAAGTAAAGAAATCATGACTGTTTGTAACTGGTGATGGTGGAAAACAAAGATCAGTTTAAAGTTTAGATTATTCTTTTGTTGCAGAAAGTGATGTTCCAGATCAGGATGCAGAAGGAAACATTGACCATGTTGCTGTGGTAGCAATCAATTTTCTTTTCTTTGTCATCTTGTTTGTGTTTGCTGTCTTTGAAACGTAAGTTTGGCTATTTTTTTCTCAAAATACTTTGCCATGTAATGTATTTAGACTGAGTATGTATGTAAAGGCTTTTCTGTTAGACTCATTTTCTTGACCATACTCTTCATGAATAGAAATCCATTACCATGTGCAATTGAATTGATATATACTGATATAGAGTAATGAATTAAAGGTCAGTAATAACTAAAAATACGTAGCATGCAGTTTGTGGTACATGAAACAATGTAAAAGCTTTTGAAATGGATGCAGACCCATATTCTCAGCTTTTTAAATGTTTTAAAACCAAAAAAAGTAGCCTAACTTGGGCTACCAAAAATCTTCAGAGAAAACTGTCTTGAGTACCTTTTTATTTTAGTTTTGGATAATTTCTTAGTATGATTCTTACTAGCTCCAAAAGTTCCAGGAATGTTTAGAACAATTGTTTGATACTGTAAATGTAATTGTATTCTCAGCTGCACTGTTTTACAAGGCTGTTTTTTTTTACCTCAGGAGGTATGTTATTCACTCCTAGTTTTCCGTGCGCAAGAAAAGAAGTAAAACATAACTATCATTACCTCAGACTGAAGTATACATCGTCTTTTTAACTTATAAAATACTTAGAAGGATGTAAGATTTATTTTGTGAGGTTTTCAAGCTCTAATGTGGTTCTTTTTTTTTTTTAACAATATGTCTCTGTCTTAATTGCATTATTTTTAGAAAATTCAGTTCCTAGAGATTGATTAGTTGCTAAAACTGAAACAGTATTCGATGTTTACTATTTTTATACTCACAGGACCTAGTTTTTATCTATCTCTATTGCTCTTGCTTTGCTTTAACTCCATTATCTTTTCATGAACTGTCAGAAATAAGAGTATGGCTGGTGTGGTACAGTTGTGAACTTTGTCTGGTGGGTTTAGTTTTAATAAATGATGTAGGACTGCATTAGTTTATAACTAGCCTGTACTTTCTGATATTCCCATCAGAAGGAAAGGCTTCTCTACCGCTGTATGTGATGTTTGGGACAGCGTAGGTGTGAAAACAACTGCATAAAAGAAGGTTTTTTTTTAAGTTAATGTAATTTTGTCCTGTCACTTTAGTATAGCTACTCCACTGACGATGGATATGTATTCCTGGACCAGGAAAGAAGCTGTTTTCTACAATGGAATAATCCTTAGCATGGTTGGCATTGAATCCGTTATTGTTTTCATGGTGGTTAAAATGCTATCTAAAAAGTAAGTTGTTGGAGCTTTTTGGAATTTTCTTCCTGATGTTAGCTAAATGTGAAAAGCTTTATGGGAGGGCCAAATCTGTATCACTCTGATCTTTTACTCATTAATGAGTTTGGGTTCACTATGATAATGAAATATTTTGAATTTTGACGTGGCCATGATGCTGTGGTTGTTCTTTATTCTGTTAACATAACCCCCTTCCTTTTACCCTGGGATCACAAGAAAAACAGATTTCAGGTTACTGTGATTTTTAAATTTTTCTTGCAGGTGTTTTGGCCAGGCATCTTTTCCACAAACCAATGGACTATTTCGTTAGATCCTTTATAAATTTTACCTTAATTAAATGATCTATTTAATTGTAATTTCATTGTTTGATAGGACTGGTGAGCGTGCCATACTCCATGGAGGCTTACTGATTGTCTTGGTTGGATTCTTTATCTTGCTGCCTTGGGGGAAAAAGCTACCAAATATCCAGTGGCAAGGTATTCAAGTCTAAACTGTCAAGTCTAAACTATCATCAGAATGTGGGAGGGATTTTAAAAAAACTTTTCATTATTTTGGTTTTTGTTGGTTTGTTGTTTTTTTTTTTTGTTTGTTTGTTTGTTTTTTTTTTTAATGGTGTGCATAACTTATTTTTGCAGAAATAAGGAATAACTCCATTCCCAGAACAGCTGCCACTGAAATGTTAATGCCTTTCTGGAGTTTGCAAGCAAAGCCACTTCCCTCCAACCACACAGTAGAACCTGTGGGCTGCCCTGTCACACAGTCCTGGTGTCTGAATACTCCCATGATCTATCTGGCCCAGTATATCAGCTCTGACATACTAATAGGATTGGGCTATCCTGTTTGTAATGTCATGTCCTACACTTTATACTCAAAAATCCTAGGACCAAAGCCTCAGGTAAGCATGATGCCTGAACAATTTATTTCCTTTTCTCTCCAAGACTTGCACCCTCTTTATTAGAATGAAGGATCTAGCTAAAATTCATTTTGTCATCAGCCAAATAATTGTATATTTCAACCAGAGTAGAAGTTTTCAGGACTCTAATCTTTATTAAAACTCAAGGCAACTCCCAAGAGGAACTGAAAAGCAAGGCTTGTACTACAATCCTACAGTGTGGAAATTTCAGGACAGCTAAGACCAAAGCTTGTGGCTTTCATGATTGTTCTGGAAGAGCCATTTTTGTAACAACCAATTATATATTTGGAACATCAGTACAGAATAATGTTCCTCTTACTAAGTTTATTACATGAAGATTAGAAATATTGTGATACCTCCAGTTTTTGATATTTTACAGTGGTGAAACACATAGCAAACTGATATTGCTGCTTAAAAAAATTTTTCTTCCTTCTTCACCAGTTACCTCATTTTTTTGTATGTTATATTTTGCTGTAAGAAACTAAATGCTTTAAGCTATAGTGCATGTAGCTCAGTGGAATCTGAATTAATGCTTAAAAGAAGCTGAGCAGTACTCTTGGAAACAAAGTACTCAGTATCTTCATGAGTTAACAAAGAGAAGCAGTTGCTTAAACACTTCTAAATTTTCCAGTTAGGATAACTGGTGGCAATTGGTGGGCAGCCCAATAATTCCTGTATCACTAACGTAAGCTTTTGATCTTCTGTAGGGTGTCTACATGGGATGGTTAACTGCCTCTGGAAGTGGAGCACGAATACTTGGGCCTGTTTTTGTAAGCCAAATATACACTCATCTGGGACCACGCTGGGCATTTAGCTTAATATGTGGTGTAGTTGTAATCTCTCTCTTACTCTTGGAGATAGTATACAAGAGACTAATTGCATTTTCTGTCAGATACGGAAGAATGCAAGAAGAGAATTGTTAAATATGTGCGTTTTTTTTTTTAAAGTCAAACCAACCAGAAACAATACTTAAATTTATTACTACTTTTTAATGAGGACTCCCTGACCTTGTTGGCTGTATGCTAAGAACTGTACATGTGGTACTTACACATTGATAGAACACGTAACTTGGCCATACCCTAATAGATGGTTATGCCTGCCTGCAATGGAGCATTTGTATTCTGCCTTTCTAGCAGCAGAGGAAGAGATGCGAACAAGTGAGATGTGAACGTTTGAAGTATGTACAGTTTAAATGATGCACCTGTGTATGGAATGCAGCTGTGAAGGTCGCAGATTACGTGCATCCTTTCCAGAAAGAAGTAAAAGAAGTATTATCTTGATTCTGTGAATCGGGATTAGTTAACTCTTTTCTAACTACAAGATTAGTTGAGCTGCATGCACTTTGTATGGAAACATCACTGCTTCAGTGAACCTCCGGATGTTCAGTTTGCTAGCTTGTAAGCACTGGTTAATACAACATCCGTTACCTTGGAAACTGGTACTTGTCAGCACGTCTTCTCCAGGACTTCAAATGAAATGTGACAGAATTGTAGAGAAAGGTAGGTGCCTACTTCACAAGTTGCTCATGTGGGATTTGGGTATTTAAGTTGGTGAAGAGCCACTGAAAATCGCAGCCTTAGTGGGTGTTACTTGAACTACAGTGAACCGTATGTGCAATTTTTTTCTGCTGTTTTGCTGAATGCCTTTTTGTAGCAAGAAATATAACCTGCACAGAGTTGAAATAATGCACAGCCTTTCCTAACTACAAGAAGGAAATACTAAGCATGATAGTTTACACTTTCATTGCCATTTGAGAGAATGAATACACTGTGCTGAGCAACCAGTTCATATTAATTACAGAGAACACTGGCTCTTCACGTGCTGTTACGTGTAGATTTTTTTCCTGATAATACAGTATGAGAAACAGGAATTTACAGTGGTTGAATCATTCAGTCTCTATTTTAAAAAGTGAGATTATTTTCTTTCATAATGGGGCCTAAGCTTATCTGTATGGGTTTATCTATTTCAGTACTGTTGGGTAAAAATAAATCTGTAATAACTTCAGTATGAGAGTTGTAGCTGCTGTTTACTGTGTCTAATACTTGATGCTTACTGAATTTAATAAATGTAATTAAGTATTCCCATGTCATCAATTGTTCAAATACTAAAATGAAAGGGTTATTTTTTTTTCAATACTGACAGAAGGGAATCAACAAGTTTTATTCTCTCTGGGGTTTTCCTGCTGCAGAATCACAAAATGCTGTGAGAAAAGACTTTGCTTTTATAAGCATATCTTTTATATTCCAATTCATAATAAATGGTACAAGAAACACTGTGTTTTAGTGATGGAGACAAGCTTCCATATGAACTGCTTGGTTTCAGCAACCAAAAGTTCCTTCAGCCATGAGAAACTGGTGAGAAATGCAGGAGTTCTCAAAATGGCTAATACAAGATTGCATATTCTACAGCGCAGTTTGTGCTGAGTGTTAGGACAAACTGTGTATGTCATAGGTGGTTTACTGTTGTTCTTCAGGCTAGCTAACTTCAAACTTAACGAGAATATGCTTGGGTACTTGGAGGGATTGCTTTACCTGTAACTTATTTAAAGGATTAAGGATAAAACTAGATTCAAGCTTCTTCTCTGCAGTGAATATCTGTAGAATACACAACATCTCCCTGCCCACCTCCCCCCCCCCCCCCCCCCCCCAAAAAAAAAAAAGGTAGACCAGGCCCATTAGTATGTTTACATGATTAAAATAAGAAAGCAAAGCTTTAAATTCTTTGGCCATGAGTAGTTTGTATTTTCCTTAGGCCAGCTGTGGTTTAAAATGTGGCTTGGTTGTAGTGGATTATCACCCCGTTTCTTATGATCTTACCAACTATTTTTTCTAAGCCTTTATGCCTTTCTGCTGCCTGTGGCTTAGGCATTCTTCAACTCTTTGTACCTTCAGCTCGCGCATCAAACTGGATTGCATATGAAGTAAAAATAATCAGTGTGGCTGATAATGCAAGCTTCTCACGTTCAGTGCTGACCCACATCTTGGCAAGGTTGACTTTCTACTTCAAAACTCGGTTGATTTAAGAGTAACATACCAAAAACATTTCTTCTAAAAAGCCGCATTTATGTGCATTTACAATGTTTGTATCTACAGGTACATGCAAAAAACCTTAAAGTGTGCATAAGAGCTACAGACAGTACTTGCTTTATCAAAGACTTGTAATAAAGTCAAGCAAAATGTTTAAAAGGTGCTACTGTTAATGCTAATAATGTCTAAGACAAGGTAAAAGTGTCTAAAGTTAATAAAATTTCTATAAAGTAACAAACTGAATTAGTTACTATATTATATGTAGTTTGTTTTCCTATCAAATGTGATTCTGGTTTTATTCATATATAGACCAGAGGTAAAAATATCAAATACACAAACCCTAGTGCATTTTGTCAGTTCAGCAAGTTAGAATTAACATCATTCAACAGTTTTACACCATGTCTTCCCAAGCTTCAAGCAATCCTAAACTCCAGCCACATACTGCTCTAAGATACCAGAGCAGCTCCTGTTATAAATGTAGCTTAATACCTAGAGGAAAGGGCTTTCACTAAACCACACACGAACATGAAACAGATCTGGACAATTGCCACTGCATTTATTTTTTTTTTTATATAAAATGCTTGTGCAGGAAAGTTAAAGCTGCTGCTACAAAAAGATCTAAAACCAGTTATAAAACATATACATATTTACATATATTACTTGCAAGACGTAAAAAATAAGTTATTTACACATACAAACACTTCAACAGCACAGATGCATTTTCCTTGATTGCTGGCACTCAGTAAGCAGTGGGGAAGAAAAAAAAAAAAAAATCCAACAGATTCAGATTATTTCCAAGAAGTTGGTGCTGTCTAGAACTAAGCTGCTCAAAGTTTTGCTTGAGCAGGTTTATCCATCATTTTGAGGGGGAAAAAAGTTTGTATGAAACTTCACAAGCAATTGGCTACACGTAAACAGAGCAACTCTGCCCTTCCTATTTTTTCTTTTTCCTTTTTTTACCAGCTTTTGGAAGAATTTCTGTGTAAGCTGAGTAAGAACAGTCACATCACTTGAAAGTCAGTGAGTGAGTTTATTAAGCTCTTTTGTCCAGACACCTGCATTGCTTTAATCAGTGGGGACCAGCTGGATTGGTAAACATCACAAGAATAGAAGACAGACAGTGCAGCTTCTCTTTGATGTATTCTGGCAACTTATCATTTTCTCCATACCTAGAAAGGCAAATAAAGCACAGAAAAAAATTAGATGCTTGAAATAATTTGTATCTGGACAGCTTATTTTGATACTTGCCTGTAAAAAGACAAGACACTAAATCAAGGAGATTTTAAGCATATCAAGACACATTAATAGGAGCTTGAAGGCTGAATTCTAGGCTCCCTTTCCCTGTATGTATTCTGAAAAGTGTTTCAGATCAAGAAAATATCTAAACAATGTTTAAGCTGCACTAATATCTGAACAGACTGTATCCTACTGTCTCCAGCTTTGCACAGAGGAAACGTGTTACTCAGTGGCTGCATTCATATGGGAAGTGCCCACTCTCCATAGTGCTCAGGTAAAGCTTTGCCTTGCATCAGTGTCAACATCTTGTCTCCCTAATCTGTCAGTATCTTAAAACAACAACAACAAATATTAAAACCTTGCTTTTCTCCCTCTCCTGCCTTTAAATACTGTACATGAACAGTGGCTATACTCTGGAGATCAAGTAAATGCATTTGCAGCTGGGTTTTATTTTGTTTTTGTTTATTTATTCAGAGCTCAGTCAAAACTATAGTTTTTTCTCTTTATTAAGCTTATATAAGCTAATCAACTGAGAAGTGATTGAAAAGCTAAGTTCTAATATTTCCAAACCAAAATGAATAGCAGCTATAAAGTTGAAGTATATCTTATGTCTAACCACCTTAAACTGACAGCAACTATTTTTATAGCTGTAATAGACTTACCTCGTTGTCTGGCCATCTGGAGATGTGTAAGTGATGGAAGAAACACCTGCTTGGGCTACTAGTTGGGATCCATCGTTAAACTGAACCCATACTGCTCCACTGGTCAGCTAATGAGAGAAATTGCATCATGATTTGAGGACATAAAAGACTACATACCTAGAATTTTTCTAATAATTGAAGTGACTTAAAGTCTCGTGGTCAGTCTTTTAAAGATTGCGTGTATACTACTTTGGAGTATGCAGTCTCGCACAGTCTCAAGAATCAGACTTCCTGAAATAGGCAATAACTACCACAGAAAAACTGTGATAACTGAAATACTTCAGTATTATTTTGGTTTCTTCTACTTACCTAGTTCAGCATGGTATTTATCCAAGATCTGTATTAGGAACAGTTCTGCCACATACCCGTTTTCAGATTTAAACTGTACCAGAGCACGTATGAGTGCATCCCTCCCAGATCAAGTTTAAAGTTAATGACTTAAAAATATGTATCTCAAGTTTAATAGGAAAAGAACAGATTCCCCTCCTTTATGAGTATTCCTCACCTGAGAAGCCCAACCAACGTTTTTCACAAAGACAGATTTTAAAAGTTGGGCTGTATTTGGGCTGCATTCTGTTTGATGAACAGAGGAGCATGTAGTTTCCACAGTATTAGTCAGGAACATAGGCTTTTCAAATGACACCACCTAAAACCCAGAAATACGTAGTATTAGCAGCCTTGGTATCAATCAACTGATTACACACGAACTAAAGTGGTCAACTACCACCCGTTTTAATCTTTCTATATATACAGAAATATTTAGCCTGTATGCTTCAGTTACCAGCATTACATTACAAAAACCCCACAGGGCTTCATAAGACTCAGTATTACAACAGATCTTCCTACCACTTCCCTGTACTCAAAGGGATTACCCTCCCTAAGCAGACGTTTTCTACTTATGCCCCATTTTTTTTTCCTTATTTATCACAAAACACTGTCTATCTGCAGCAAGTGTTCAGCATATAACAGATCAATA